CCATCTAAAGAAAGTGTGCTACGTCGTGTGAAGGAAGCTGTGATCAGTGATAGACGAAGACAGCGTATAAAGACAACTACATGTAGCTAAGATTACATGAAGGCAAAGAACATGTACACATGGCTAGAACCCGTATCTATAAATAGAGGAGAGGGAGGAGGAGGACCGAGACTTGAACAGCCAGACATCAGCAACTACATCTCCACTCTATATATACTGTGCCTACCGCGTATGTATAAACCACCAGAGATTTAGAAAAAGGTTACTTTTACTCAGTGCCAACCTCTTTTTGCCTCACTCCACCTCCCTCCAGCGACACGACATCTCATCCCCATACCGCACCACCACCGCAGCCATGACCACAAACGCCGTCCCCACAAATGGCCCCCACTGCCCCACCGCATCCATCCTCTCCCCTCTCGGAACCCGCCACATTGCGACCTGCGTCACGTACAGCACATACCCTCCCCACAAGGCACAAATAAACTGGATGGCGACCGTCAAAACAAGCACCCACCCTTTACTAACCATCAGGCACCCGCAACAACACTCGCACATCTTCCTCAAGAACGTCGAGTATGCCTTCTGGTGTCTCCGCAGCTCACTGAGATAGATCGTAATCGGGACCAGCACCACCGGACCCGCGGCCGCATACCGCTGCAGCCGTATAAACCTCGCCATCGAGTCCGGAAACGACGCCTGCGTCGTCTGCTGCCCGATCCTCAATCGTCCTGTGTATTCCGGGTCGCAATCCGGCAATGCCCGGGGCAAGAATCGGACATTCAACGCCGCCGCGAAACCACCCACCATGATAACTACCATCCACGAGAACACGACCGCGCGAGTGCCGAGGAACTCTCTCCTAAAGTTTCGTGACCGGATAAGAACCCATGGAGAGACGCAGAGAGCAAAGTAGATGACGCCGTAGATGGGGATGGCGTCGAGTTCGGCTACTGGCGGTGGATCGAAATGGATTGTTGATAGGGCGTGGACGGCGGCTACGGAGCTGTAGACCATGGCGCCACCGAGCATGGCTTCGGCGAACCAGGCTTTTCTGTGCCATACTGTGCCGAGGAGTAGGAGGGAAAGGTAAAGGTTTTGAGGGGCGATGCCATAGTTACCGGACACGGGGTAGGCGCACACTGATGACATATTGTGGGTCTTTTAGGGCGGTGGAGATGGCGTCGTGAATGTAGGATCTGGCCATCCTAATAAATAAGCCAGGATAGGAAGGGAATAATGGAGGTACGAGGGTAAACTGCTACTCGTGAATGACAAGAAGCGTGCCTTACAGGCCGGAGTTCTGGCGGGCTCCCTCTTGATTCGACCAACCTGAGACACTGATTGGATTAACATCGAAACTGGATGAGCCTGCCAAACCCCACAGCCTTCCAACGAAGGACATACAAAAAACCACCAATGGTCCACACGCTCGCCGGTGCAACGAGGCAATGCCGTCGGAGCCATTGAGTCTCGCCCTGTTGGGATATGCCAACAAAAAAGGTTTGCGGCTCCAGCGACCCCCTCTCAAAGCATGCATTTAACCAATAACACCCGCTCTTCAGCAGTCAAGCTTTACGTCAATGATTACCGCCACATGTTTCACATAGTCTTGGCGCCCCCACACGTTGGCCGAGACAAGGCTGTCGACATTCCTGGGATGGTTTAAGCTGTCGAATCACCTGCTGGAGAACGCCCTGGCGTTATTTTGCACCCTTACTAGGACCTCGATATCCCAACAATCTGGACAGCGGACCTAGGTTTCCAATGAACCCCGTGCTGAGTGCACCAACGGGCACCCACAGAAGCACGAAAGAAATCGTCTTTCGCGATATGCAGGGTCAAAGACAGAGCCTTTGTACGTTCTTGCTGTCGAACTAGGCATCGCTAAAATAATTAACCTAAGCGATTGGAAAGTACTTCCCTAGCTATATTATGTAGTCAATTGGGCCGGTACATATAGGTCCACAAGATCGATACAGTCACAAGTTAAAAATCCAAACCCCGCGATATATTACCATCCAAAACTCGTATCTTAGCAAATAGTCCCTTACGGCAGTCGAGTTGTGCTTTGAAGTGTATGTGGTATGCTGGTTGCCATACAAGAGCACAAAAGTGCACTTGAGGGCTGAAGACATACAGACGGCAAACAAGGGCACTTTAGGGGCTGAGTAGAGAGTACTGTACAGAACGCCTCTTGGGTATTGCAGCAATACGTGTTGACTGCCAGGCCGCTAGGGCCATGATGGCTTCTCTAGGAATAGAACTTGGTGGGCTATTTATAGGCACGCGGCTCAAGGCTGTAGCGAGAGTTGTAGCATCTCAGAGGTGAGGATGGGAGAGGTGAAATGACACTGGAATTAGGACTCGAAGGAGACTGTGTGATGGTGAAGTTGGTTGTATATCTCGTAGTGGTAGTTAGATCTATGGAAATCTTTTTTCAAGGCGATGCTACATATTGATAACAATGATCTAGTCAAACTCGCTAAATATAAAGAGTCGATGATTTTACAGGACACGTGTATTAATATGGTTAAACGTATAATGTGTCCTCAAATCGTTTCCCTGCAAGTAGTTCGTTATTTCGTTCTCGCAGGTCATGGCCGGGCGGGGGGGTTTTGCACTCACCGCAGGGTACTTGATCTGGGGTATAAATCGATATATTGATGAGTACACTGAGAATACTTCTCATGAACGGGTACTTCAAACACACGAAGAAAAGTCGCCCATTCATGTAGTCAGGCCTTTGCCCCTTCATCTCTGCCGAGCGCTGTGGGACCGTAAATCCTCTCCTTCTCGTTCCTCGTACCTTTTTACTATGCTCCCATCATCCTCCACATCTACTGCATTTTGGTTATAACGTCTCCCCTACTCACCCATGCCCAGCCCCCCACTACATGTATCTACCATCCACCTAACTCACCAACACCCCACCACCGACCCCCAATCATGCAGAACTCCCCAAACCTCATACGTTAAATATCACACCTTCGGATCCTCTCCTCGCAAACAACCTGTATCGAAACCGCCATGACCAACAACCCATCTCTGCATGCTCCACCACTTTTAACAGTACCACCCTAGTTAGCTAGCGAGAGGCTGGCCTGCATCATGGTGTCTGCACAATACCTCTCACCCCATTATTTATCCAGTATCTCATCTGCGCACATTGCCGCCAGCGACAGGCCTCACCCCTCTCTGAATGTGGATGGCGGTACTCAGGATTCCAAGGCGCCGAAAAAGACGGTACTCACTCTCTCATGGAAACCAACAAGATCTTAACCTTCAACAGCACTCCTCCGTCAGTAGTGATCAGGCTTTTTAATGGGCGGCCACATATACGGGCCAGACCGGTCCAAGTATACGGGCGGTGGGCCGGGCTTGGAGTTTTCTCTGCTGGGCTGGGCCGGTCCGGATGGCTTTTTGGACCGGTCAAGGAGAATAATGTATGGGCTAGTTTATGACTAGATTTCTCCACTCGTTATGAGGTAAACACTCAATACAACAATTTTATAATACCTTTTTTCCTCCTTCGCCTTCAATAAATATCATTGGGGGGCCCATATATTTATATTTCTGTGGCCGGTCCTGATGCTATATGGGCCAGTCGGTTCGGGCCCACCCTTTGGTGGGCTGGGCCGGGCCGGGCCAAGGTCAAATATGGACCGGTCCAGCCCATTAAAAAGCCTGGTAGTGATTTCCTTCTAAACTTTCTAATCGATGTTGGAAACCTGACGCTTCTTAACAGGCCGAGTGCTTATGCACCAACTTCTAGGTACTTTACAAACATTTTGCGGTAGCGTACAAGATTCACCGCCCCGTTACTCTATCCCTTAGACTGTCAGTTGCTGACCCCCTATAATGTATGCATGAAATTGTATGGGGGATATATGATTTGATAAGTATAGTAGGAAGATCTGTTCGTAAAGCCGCACCAAATACCCTTTTCTTTCGAGGGGTCAACATTTAACTGACGGTTTAAGGGAATCCGCTAGCGGCGCCTGATCATGAGCCCCGCTATGAATACTATACAGTAACAATAAAGGGGTCCTATATACCCCTATAACTCTCGACATAGATGACGATAGAATCTGCTACCCTGACCACATAGCGATAACCATATAGAACTTCGAAGCTCGGAAGCACTGCACCGTGTTCTTGGTACGAGTGAGCCACCATGTATCACTCGGTCCTCAATATCTGGTTTGGTAGCTACGGTTATCCTTCCACCGCCGAAGGGAGACTTCTGTATGTTTATGGAGGCTTAGAAGCTTCTAGTTTGGTATGCTTACAGCATGAGAGATGTTATGTGGATCTTTAGACTGTTGACTTCAGTATGTAGGGGCCATTAAATTGTAGCTGAACTATTATTTTTTTCTACACGCGTGTGCAACGAGGCCATGTTTCATCACTGAATCTAAAAGGTTACCTGTACTTTACTTTTACCCTCGTATCTGGGTATGTTAGAGGTTAAAGTACACCCTCAGACTACAAAAGACGCCTTGGTCTCCCAGTGCGATGTTAGTGCTTGTAGTTAGATAGCTGTACCGAGTAGCGATATAGGAAGTCCAAGGTATGTAGCTTCTATGCTGCGCTAGTATAGTATGCCCATGTTCGTAAACCTGAATCTATCTAATAACATCACTCTCAAAAACTCTCTTTTGTCCTTCCTTGAAAAATAAAAACAGAAACAAAAACCATCCCATCCCATATCGGCACCCTAGTTTCTATACCGACCACAGAATTTATATAAATGTGCCCAGCACAGTATAAAGAGAGATACATGCCCATACATAAGTTGCGATTGCGCTGAAGGAAACACAAAGCTCAAAATGATTACAGACATTTACATGTAGTCACCCAGAAGTTGAACCACAAATACTCCAAGCCTCCCTAGCATGGCAGTTGCGGAATATTTCTCGCATATCCAGGACTGGGTATTCGTGTACCAGTAGTTAATGATTGGATCTTAGTGCTAGCAATCATGTAGCTCGAATTCTTCACTCTGGATTAATACAGGTTCCGGCCGAGGGAGTTTCGATGATAAGGTCTCGTCGCGCCAGCAGAAGCTTCATTTGTGTGACTAAATGGGATGGAGTAGTCCAAAAATCTTCACTGATTATAGGTTCGGGGTATCTGTCCATTATCCGCTCCAGGGTCTCAGTGTCCATGCGACGTCTGGTTTGTACGAGCTTACGTAGAACCAATTTGGTTATCACGATATTGGGGTATCTGTCAAGGAGGAACCGCAGCAGCTTAGAGTCCGGATTACCTGCGGCGGCAAGTAGAACCCCTTCGGTCACCACGATATCAGGGTGTCTCTCCACAAGTAACCGCAACACGTCACAGTGTCCACTACCTGCTGCAGCAACTAAAACTGCTTCGGTCACCACATCGGGGTTTCTGTCCAGGAGTACCCGCAGCACCCCAGAGTCTCCACTACCTACCGCAGCAGCCAAAACCACTTCGGTCACCACCACCTCGGGGTGTCTGTCCAGGAGGAACTGCAGAAACTCAGACCCCCAAGTAGGCACGACAGCAACTAAAACCGCTTCGGTCACCACCATATCCGGTCGTCTGTCCAGCAGCAGCCGCGGCATCACAGAGGCCCACTTATCTACGGCGCCGGCAGCAACTAAGACCGCTTCGGATATCACTATATCCGGGTATCTGTCCAAGAAGAACCGCAGCATCTCAAACCCCCAAAATCTCTTCACCACAGCAACGAAAACCGCTTCGGTCACCACCAACTCGGGTTGTCTGTCCAGGAGGAACCGCAGCATCCCAGAGTTCCCAAAACCTGCCGCAGCAACTAGAACCGCTTCGGTCACCACCACATCGGGGTATCTCTCCAGGAGGAAATGCAGCGTTTCAGAGGCCTCATTATCTACCGCAGCAACTAGAACCGCTTCGGTCACCACCACATCGGGGTGTCTGTCCAGGAGGAGCTGCAGCGTTTCAGAGGCCTCATTATCTACCGCAGCAACTAGAACCGCTTCGGTCACCACCACATCGGGGTGTCTGTCCAGGAGGAGCAGCAGCATCTCAGAGTCCCCAAGACCTGCCGCAGTAACTAGAACCGCTTCGGTCACCACCACATCGGGGCGTCTGTCCAGGAGGAGCTGCAGCCTCTCAGAGTTCCAATGACCTGCCGCAGCAAATAGAACCGCTTCGGTCACCACCACATCGGGGCGTCTGTCTAGGAGGAGCTGCAGCCTCTCAGAGTTCCAATGACCTGACGCAGCAATTAAAACCGCTTCGGTCACCACCACATCGGGGCGTCTGTCCAGGAGGAACTGCAGCGGTTCAGAGGCCGGATTACCTGCAGCAGCAACTAAAACCGTTTCGGTCACCACCATATCCAGGCGTCTGTCCAGGAGGAACCGCAGCACCCCAGAGGTCCAATGTTTTCTTGCCGCAGCGACTAAAACCGCTTCGGTCACCACCACATCGGGGTGTCTGTCCAGGAGGAACCGCAGCAGCTCAGAGTCCTGATCATCCACCACAGCAACCAAAACCGCTTCGGTCACCACGATATCAGGGTGTCTCTCCACAAGTAACCGCAATGCGTCACAGTGTAGATTACCTGCTGCAGCAACTAAAACTGCTTTGGTCACCACCACATCCGGGCATCGGCTCAGAAGTAGTTTTATTGTCTCAGTACCGATTGACCTAGACATCATCGCAACCAAGGCCGACTCGGCTATCATGAAGTGAAGGTTTCTGTCTAGGAGGAGCGTCATCACCACCTCACTTCCCTCGAATGCACCTATCTCCGCGCGGGCGGTGGCCCACTCAGTTATCTCAATATCATGAAACTGGTCTAGCAACAGCCTGGAAAGCTTACCTCGAACCAAGATATCTACCAACATATTCAAGACCGAGTGAGTGATCGAGATATTGGGGGAACGATTCAGAACGAACATTAAACTCCGACATAGAGAATGTGAATCAATTTCCGTAATGAGGAGCGTAATTAGGGACACCTCTGTGATGATGATATCGGGGAATCGCGCCAGCAGGAGCTCCATTTTTCGAAAACCATTCTTGAATCCAGCCAATTGAACCAAGACCAACTCGGCGACCGCAGCATTAGGGAACAAGTCTAGTAGGCGCGTAAAGAGGGTTTCAGAGATACCCGCTGCTGCGGTGAGAACCGGAACGGTGATTATAGCGGCAGTACACCGATCGAGCAGGAGGTTAATGTCAGTAGGATAATTCCGAGGATTCTTAATCGTCGCAATCAACACTGGACTGGTGATCATTGTGCGGGGATATTGGTTGAGCAGCAGATGCAAGATGGATTTTCGGGGTGGCCTACTCGTCAAAGATCTCTCTAAAGCTTTCAAGCTATTCGGGTGTTGTTTTAACAATATTCTTACAACCTCGGTGTACGTACCGCCCTGCGCTGCCTTCAACATGACATCCTCCGTGGCCACGAGCTCCGTGCATCTGGACAGTATAATGCTAATCCAATTAAGTGTATAGTCCGCAATCGCCCCCACAACAAATTCTGTGACCTGCTCCTCAGGGCACCTGAATATTAGCGTTTTTAAGCTCGCTTCACGAAAATTGCTCCTTGCCGCCATGATCAAAGCCTTCTCGGTGATCAAGTGGTCGGGACATCTTGATAGGAGTAACTCTATCACATCTTTGGGATAGACCTTCTCTATTGCAGCGTGCAGAATGGCCTCGGTAATTTCAATTTCGGGATACCTTTCTAATAACAAGCTGATAATCTTTGCACCCCTCTTACTCTCGGTTGCCGCCTCTAGAATAAGTTGACAGCGACCTAAATCGTGGGAAGTAGACAACAGCGAGTTCATCATTTCACGACCGTGATGAGTGTCCTCTAGCACACTCAGATATTCATCTGCTAGACGCGCGACAGAAGCCGCAGGGAGCGATGATACAGAAAACAGCGGTACTAAAAGGCTGGGCGGCCACTGAACCCACGGCGAATCGCGTGTATGATCAATCTTGCTCCTCTCCGCCGCTGCTGATAACAGCTCAATTCTCGCTTTCATGAGACCATGGAACTTCAATATCTCCCTAATCTCGTTGCAATCATTGCTCCTGTCTATCGCTCTGATAATATCCCAAGAGAGGTTGAACTTCGGGGATATTGTGAGTAACATATGAAGAGTATCGCTGCTATAGCAATTTTCCACAATGCCGCAAAAGATGTCCTCCGGGTCGTAAAGAATCTTGGTAATTCTGGAGAGTAACATTTGCATAACCTCCCAGCTTCTGGGGAACGAGTGTTTCGAGGCAGCTCTAACAGTCGAATCGGTGATTTCGATATTCGGGTATTTATTTAATAGAGTCTGTGTAATCTCGTTACCCCCACAAGTGCCTGCTGCTGCCATAAAAATTGCCTGGGATATCTTGGTGTCCGGAAATTTGGAAAGTAGCGCCTTAAGTATGAGAGTGCCTGCAAAATTTCTAGCGGCGGCCACTAGGACTGCTTCTGTTATTGTAAGGTAGGGGTAGTTGGCACATAGGATCATGAAAATATCACTGCCATTTGGATTGTTTGCCGCTATCTCCATAACCTCCTCAGTAATTCTTGGGCGCTGGTCAAGAAGAATGGCCATTATCTCGCCTCCTTGATTAGGATTCCCTGCTGCTGCCTTCAAGACATCTTCGTTTATTTCGATGTTGCGAGTAATAGATAGTATTAATTTGACAGTGTCTTTGTCTCCATCTCTTGCTGCCGCTTCTAACACGGTTCTGTAGTTGCAGCTATTAGCACCTATACTGGCACCTGCATCAATAAGCTTGAGAAGTGCCTTCGGTTTATGAGAAATTATTGCGGCCATCAAGGTATTTATAGCAGGAAAGCCTCGCTTCGCATTGACATTTGCCCCATTGTCTAACAGGAAATTCATAGCTGACTCGTTCCCTTGAAAAGTCGCTACGAGCAACGGTGTGTGTCCCATATCGTTCTGAGTGTCGATATTTGGAATAGCAGACTTCCAGCAGGTTTGGAGCACCTTTCCAAAGGAAAAGCATGGTAGTAGGAAGATTGGGCTGGGGGGCGTCGATAACAAGTATCGACGATGCTTGTACCATAGATCGGTGACCCATGATAGGCCTTGTGGAATCCTTCTCGAAAGATTTATCCACCCTAAATAAAATTCTCCGGGCTCTTTTGGGGTTCCTAAAAAACGTTGAAGAAGATCCACCTCGTGATCACCCATTCCATATTCATAACAATGTTCCGCATGATATGGCCAATAGACAATGCAATATCGGGTAAGCTGGATTGTTGCCGGAACACATTCAGCGTGAAAATCAAGACTCGCTGGGATAAAAAATCCATCACGTTCACTACTACATGCTGAAAGGCAAACTGCGAGCGCCATACGATTTGCATTTTGAGAGCTGAAGGTATCGGTCTTCTCAAGGTATTCTTCAACTGATAAATGTGCAAAGACCACCCGGCGGAGTTGCTGGTCAAACGTAACCAGATTACTGCAAAGTCCTAAAAGGAGATTTGTGCCGTCTGGGGGGATGGGATTAGGGAAAAATGTGAGCGCCGCCCAGAGATCCCAATGGAGTGGCGCTTCCGCGCACATGATCCACATCAACGCCCGCTTTACACATTCCTGCTCTCGAGGGGTTTTCGAGGATATTTGGTCTAGTATCTGTGAGTATGTCTCCTCAAGGGTCTTGGGTAGCCTTCCTAGGCTATCCCAGATATCCTCCTCAAGGTTTAAAGAATATAGCTGTTTAATCTGAAGATTCGCCCATTGGAACCTGTGGAGGGGATCATGAGCAATATTTAAATTATCGGGGTATAGAAAGGCGCTCTTACATTCCCTTAGCTCCGTCGGCGATAACCGAAATGATTCGCTTCTTCAGTTCATTGGTAATTTGACCACGAAGTAGTCGCCTAGTATTTATGGCGTGTTCTACTTCCCGGTGGATGAACCTCTCAATATCATGCCGGTTGTCTTCTGCTTTGATGAACAGGTTTGGTACATGCTCAAGATGTAACTTGATGTCTTGATCGTCCCTGCTTGCAACAAATATCCTCACGATACTGCTGGTTCGGCGGAGAATATCTTGCAATGCGCCTAATAGCCTTAGCCGTTCTTCTACGTCATTCTCATCCAGCGCGTCAATGACGATTGTGGTTTGAGGAAATGCGCTCAAGAGGGAGATAAGTAGGTCCTGACTTTCTTCAAAGTCCAAAAAGCCTGCAGCAAAATCATCTTCCCTCCTTCGGTTGTATTCCTCTACCACATATTCCGGCAGATGAGGATATACGAGTGAAAGTTGCTTTACCACGGACTGCATGATAATGGCTGAATTTCGGCGCGAAGGATCGCTTCGAGAGCAGTAGAAGTACACGATAGGCTCATGCCTTGTTGTTTCGGAGTTTAAAAAATCGATTACTGCAGATCTACACACCAATAAGACATTTCCTGTAGGTTTATGGAATATCGGGAACCCTACACCAGTTTTGTCTTGCCTGCCCCGGCTTCACAGTAGGTCAGAAACTAACCAATGATAAAGAAACAACCCAGTTTCAGACCAAAAAATAGGGAATGTATGCAGCACTTACGGATTCCGTGTAGCCACAGTATACTTGAAGCCCTAGTGCTACGCCAATCACGGAACTCGTTCTTATTCAGAAGCCATTGACCCGTCTTATCCAAGATCGTTTCTTTGGCAGTCGCATGGTGTTTTTTGTATTCAATTTTGGAAAGCCACTGAAGAATGGTCTCTCTTTGAGAGTCTGAGAAAGGTTTGACGAAATTAGGAATCAAGTGTTACTCCCTTTGTCAGTGCCCCAACTATGCATTGGGAGACTTACTATCTAACAACACCAATGATGGTCCCAATGTTATCCCCGCTGAAAATTCACATAGCTATGACCTAACAAGTTGGTAGTTTTTCTCCAACACAGACTTGTACTTGACCATGCTTGAATGATCTGCATCAAGGCCTATTCCGGTAAGTGTCGGTGGATGTATTGCAGATTCCGCGGTCACCATCCGTAATGGGGCGCCCGACCTCTCCCACTTGTTTTTAGTCCGGTTCAACTACATTTTTCCTCCGCTTTAGCATGCGCTTCTCGAAACGTAATAATGGCTTGTAAATGTTTAACGTTACCTGAACCGTCGAGGTATCTTTTAGCTCGTGAAAGCAGGTTATCTTGATAGGTCTCCGTTTAAAATAACGACAGAACTCCTCGCCGAGTGTTTCTAAGAACTGGGAGGTTCCGCCTAGATCTTCGATGAGGTGGTTATTTGGCCCCCCTTTAACCATTTCTCTCAGATTTGTAACCTCAAGGGTAAGATTAGGAACACCGAAGAACATTATGCCGTGGCAAGAACGAAGAATATCGGCGTGGATATCCTTGAGATCCATACTACTGCAGTCCGCCTTGCGAAGGGCCTAATATTATGAGGAAATAATTAACTTCGGTTCTGAAAAATGATGAAAGGTTTGTTTGACCTTCTTGATAACTACACCGCCTAGGCTATGACCAATGAAGACAATGGGCCGTTGAGTAGTCTATTCGGCAATATTAGTACCTTTCACAGTAGAGGAACCTGGGGGGTCTTACGCCTTTTTGACTTCTTGCTTTCTTCAGAGCTTCCAAGAATGACGTAGCCAAGTTCCCTATCCTAACTTTGGAGGATTCAGTAGCTAGTGTATTGTTGTATCCATAGGTAAGAATCCTGGCGCTATGTTCTAAATCTTTGGGGACAAAGTCCCGCAACCACATTTCTGGACCGTCAGGAGACCTCCATGAACCGAAAGCATGACCTGCGAGTCCCGTAACTGCAATGATACTAAATGAAAATGAGGGTCATATTAGAAGGGTAAGCTCTTTTAAATGGAACTTCATAACATACTCGAGAGCAGGGTTATTGGGGTTATTGAGTGGTGTAAGGCCTTCAAAGTGGGAGTCGAAAAGGGCTGAAAATCTGGATTCTTCTTCCCCCAGCTGGATTGGCACCAGTGATGTCGAAGGAGGTCTGCACATTTCTAGTTCGGAAGGGAGTTTCCTAAAGTTGACCGTGGCCACTTGGTAGCGATCGTAGTCCGACGATGGCGACGGAGCTAGAGAAAGTGTACGGATGTTGTCGATCCGCTGACGCTTTGGTCCACGCGAGCTCGAGGCGCCATCTTCGTATACATTCAAATCATTTAGCCACCTGGCTAATTGCTCCGGAGTGACAGATGCAGGAATGTTTGAAATTCTCAAGGCTAGTTTTTCATCGTTCGGGGGTACATTCCCAAGCTCGGTCCCAGTCTCCAGCAGCGAGTTGATAGTGGGCGGTAGGTGCTTTATAATGTCAAGAGTCCTAGGGCTTATACGCACGCTCTCTAGAGCCACCACTCTCATGAGCGCTAGAAACGATAGGAGAATCAAAAACCGTCCCAACTAACCTTGATTACTGCTAGCGACCGTATCAGACGTTCCGCCACCTCGCTCGCTTAGCAACAAAGTTGTCGCCTCTCCACTCACAGGGTGCTCTGCCATGCTGCTAAGTCTATTCTGTGCGTCAAGAGTGGTTGGAGTTTTCTCACAAAGCTTATTTTAACGGATTTGTTGGTGGATGAAGTTGGATGTGGTTGTTGGGGGCCTCACAGGGTAGACGACCTCCGCCTAGTCTCAGCCTCACCGTGCAGGGAACATTTCATCGGCCAATCGGAATCGAAACAGTAAAAGCCATGGTGCCTCTGATTGGTCGCAATTCAGTTCATGAATTCACCTCGTAGTACCTCCATATCTAAGATCTCCATTTATTTAGATATTTCAAGCTAATAGAACCCCCCATCCGAAGACAGGACATAACCTATCGTGAGTTTGTACGAGGATGGGTCTTGAAACGACTATAGCTTCGCGATCGCGAGAGGTGGAAAAGACATACATGTATTCACGTGATTAGCTGATCAACTTTTGTCTCTTTTGGCGGAAAGACGGTGATTTATGTCTAGGAACTATGTATACATGTACTCTATATTATACTACATGGGCATGCGTTGACCCTTGACCTTTGCCTACTACATGTAGCTATAGCCCAATTGTTGTCAAGGACACCTGCGGGGATAATTGGAGTCATAAGGCATCACTCGGCCAATCGAGTGATATCCCGTGCTTAATTAAATATCAGGTCCCTGTGTGTGAAAGCTCTCACAAAGGTCATACTTCCAAGGTGCGTGTTTGGTCAACAGTTCCCTCGATGTTGTCTCAGGTCGTGGCGGCTGTGCGATCACGTGGCTACATGTACTCTATATAATACATGTATTAATGTACCTACATGTCTTGATATCGATATCAGCACGACCAGCATGCACGTGCATCCTCGTCCCTAGAATTTGCGGCACCCAGCACTTCTTGTTTCTACAGCATACGTATACATACATGTGCATGTACCCGCTCTCGGCTTCCTTCTTTACATGTATGTACTTATGGGGTATGTCCTTGCACCGAGATCTAGAGCACCCGACCCCTCCCCCAGTACGTTCTGTCAAGCTACTACGAGAACACCTTCTGTGCCCGAGCCCATAGGCACTGTCAACACATTCCATCCGTCCTCGTCAACGGCCGTCGTACCTAATGGCATACAGAGCGTACTTACTACCACCACCGTCGGCGCCGGCGCACCGTGCCATGGCCACTGTCATTGTTGCAACTCCTTACCGGCACTTACACCAACAGCTACTACACAGAAGCCTCCGTTCTCGCCTCTCCTCCCCGCGCCATTACACACACAGCATCGCCGCTGCTCCACAATAAGGTACACGCTAACTACAGAAGCGCTCGAGGGTAGTTGCTCCCTACGCCATTCCACCCATCAGCCCCACAAACTCTGCTGTCATAGCGCTGCGCAAAGGCTCAGAACTTTCACCCCGAGACAGACTCAGCCATATCCTCTGTTTTCCCCGTTCCCACGAAGAGGATTTCCCGTCCTAGCAACAACCTACTATCAGCATATACCTTTCTCATACCCGCCTGCCCCTCTACGGCTCTCCGGAACCTCTGAACGCCCTGTGTGAAGCGATCAGGCGGTATTCTGCGGCTGCGGGCTGGCGTTACTCCGCAGCAGATTCCTACCGCATTTTATAACGCCGCGGATAAGGGACGTACTCTATGCTGGCCTGATCACATATATAGTTCCTCGCCAACTAGTTTCTTGGAAGCTATGCTGCCGCAGCATGGGATAGGTAAAGTCCGCTGTACAGGCAGAGGCGGGCAGCGCTTGATACTACACTCGGCCCCTCTTTGTCTACCAGAACTCACAATATTTACAACAGAAAGACCATTGCCTACCACTCAGCGGGTAGGACACTCTACCTCTCACTAGCGCTACTGGCTTCCTTCTCTCCCACCTACCTGTTATCATATCGCTACGGGGGGTATAGGAGATACCAACAATGCCACTACAGCCCCACGAGAAGAGCTCGTATCTTTCCTGTTCCAACATTGCGGCATGGTAAGATTGCTTCTTCTAGAATAGGCTAAACGGCGCTGCAATAAAGTCATCTCAGAAACAACAATGCAATCATGCCTGGTCACTCGTTATTAGCCCAGGGTTAGGGTTTTAGTCATGTCGTCTTAGATGGTGTTATCCTGATATTGATGAGGGACCTTTATGAAATGGTGTTCGACTGTCACAGGGACTCTAGCGAACTGGTTTATTATTATCGGGACTCCTGTTGGAATATGAGGGTAAATGGCGATGATAGTTTTTCATATTTCCTGCTGCCTGGATATCGTTCTCTTGGACTAGGGTAGTTATTAGAGAACAGCACTTTGTCAACCTTCATAGGTCTCTAGTAGCATCACGGGCGATAACACTTAATGGGATATGCTATAGCCCCGCAGAATATGTCCAGAAGCTCTAGTTCTATACTATCAATATTGTTACACTTATGGTGACTTGGGCAGAATGCGCAGTGAATGTTTGGAGGGAGTGAAGAATTGGCAGAGTTCAGGGTTGTACATAGATAGAGTTTCGATCCATCTCCATCATTCCAGCACCCGATCCCATATCAGGGACCCGTATATAATTGCTGCCTATACAAAAACACTCCCACCCCCCCACTCCATTACTACTTCCGCTCCCACGCTGCCACCTGTGTTCCATTAACATTGGCCGGTTAGAAGAAAGGGTTCTCCTCAATCCTCATCTTTGTATGTACCCATTTGCTTGCTGTTCTGAGCTGCCCTGTGCCCCAATCACCATCATCAAACACGCGAGCTGCACGCTGCACGGCGATATCGATAGGTGTACTTGAATCCACCCACTCAATTGCTCCATGAACCGGTGTTTCAGATGCAGATATAGGATTTGTCGGACTAAGAACCTATTTTCTTTTTTCGGGTTGTGAAGAGCGTGTATGTACAGTCGCACCTCGTTATGTCGTTAGCTTACTCTGGGAGCCAAACCCCTACGAGATAGCAAATATACGAGACAGCAAATAGTTTTTGGTGGAGAAGGGCAGTACCTGTCTCGCAAATCCGTACGAGACAGCAAGAGATCCGAGATATCGAATTACGAGATAGCGAGGTGCGACTATATGTAGTTGCAATTTCTGGGGATACGTCGGGGAGTTGAATCGGGTGGGGTCGATAGTTTTGGTGTTAAGTGATGAGACATTATATGAAGATCTCGGGTTTAAGCCCGCCGTGGGTTTCTGGAGTGTGATTCCCCAGATGCAGAGCCTCGCGTTTAGGTGCTCTTGGTCCGGCTAACCACGCCATAAAATTTGTAAAATCGCTTGATAAATGTAGTATGGTAGCGATTTAGAGGTCTACAGCTCACGCACTTCTTTCATGAATCCACCCTGTAGAGTATGTCTAAACCGCCGACTCGTACATCCTGGCCATGGCATGACCTTAAAGTCTGCCGAGCGCTAACCCTTCAATCCTGGTGGCTGATTGAACGTTAGCAGCCGAGTGGCATGGTGAGCTACGAGGCGGGAATTTATACTCGACCTTGTTTTTTGATGTTCTAGGGGTGATGTAGAGAGGTGAGCTGGATCCCATCCCCAAACCTCTTGGCAGTCACGTGATTTTCGCCAAAGTTTCGCCTTCAGGAACTACACTTAGCTATCCTTCGACAAAATGCTGCCCATCCAGGAAAAAGCAAATCCGGTGTGACATTACCAACAAATCTCTGAGAAAGTAAGAGATCTCCCATTCAAATTCAGTTTCTCAGTTATAGGGGGCAGCAATCGATAGATGGAGGGATACAGCCGTTCACCGTCTCTTGATCACGAATACTGCCATTAATTTGATGAACAGGGATTCCAAGTATGGCAAAAAACTACCAAGCTGCGAGATGTCCAGTCCTTTCCATTTCTATTGGCCCAAAGTCCCCTGTTCGTTAACTGACGGTATTCGTCAAGCGACGGTGAACGACTGTAGTGCCTTTACGACCTTAGATATCTTCAGAGCTGAAATGACCAACAATAGGCCGATCGTAGGGCATATCCACGGTGTCTTAGCTCAGATACGTACGCGTACGGGTTGATATTTGGGGGTTGATATTTGGGGGCAGACAGAAAGCACTACACAATAGAAGTTGTATCGATCTCTGCTTCCTTCTTGTACCCATTTACGCCTAGAAGGCGCACACAGCCATTGGTGAACCAAAACCTACATTATCCGGTAGTATTCACCTGTCCAGAGTAAACTTTTCCAGTCTGTGGTCAAAATACACAAAAATTGAAGCTGGTAGGACCGTCAGTCTAGACATAACTGCGAACTCGAAAGAAAAGATGACAGCGGCGTAAAGGTAACCACTCATTTCACCAGAATAGTTCTTGATCTTCCTATTAAGTATCAAATCATCTACAAGGTGTATCTTGCAGCTTACATGAACCAGCGTCGATTAAAAAGAATGACAGCAGGTTTGTGCTTGGCGAATATAGAGTTCCTGATACTCCCCGGGATTTGAAATTGTCCTTAATGAAGTAAATGGCGAGTCTCCACCTCTATATGCGTGGTGTATAATTCGAGCTGGGGTAGATAGGCATGATTAAGGAGTATTTGAAAACCACCCACCGGCCAACAAGCTATAGTGAGCTCATTATTCCTCCTATGGATATATATCGATGAGGGTATCGATCTGACAAGGACAATACGCCCAAAGCGAAATACTGTGCTTCTAGGATCTATAGACCTAAAGTATACCCCGAACTCATGGATGGAATTTATTTTGCAGATGTATGTATAGGCGGTGCGCAATATCAATGTTGACATTAAACACGATTCCAGTAGGTTGCTCGTATCAGGAGCGGCCAAGCTTCTATTGGTGATTTTGTGGGTCATCGAGCGTGAGCAGTTATTGGTAAAGAAATCCTTTATCGAAAATCGATCTAAAAGAGATAGTCAGCCTGTCGAGTATATATGGCCACAGATGAATGATATAGACTCCCACTCCCTGATGTTTACAAACCCATCCCATTCACAATACATAAAGGGAACAAGCCTGGGAGAGAAAGAGATAATAGTTCAAACCTCGTACAAATACCCGACCGTTCCTGATCCTTCAAAAGAGCCATCAAAACTATTCTGGCTTTCCCTCAACTCTCTCGTCGAAGATTCTTGATTAGAAAAACCATCATATTCTGATTTCCTCTGGCCCCATGCACGATAACAATATGAGCGATGCCGACCACGAAAACGGGCAATCACACCCGCAAGGAACCGATGCGAGTCCTAATCGAGGAAGGATACGTCAATGGATCCGAAATAAAATAAGTAAGTTTTAATCTTATATATGTTTTAATGATCTTAGCTCAAATTATGAATTCTAACAGTTAGTAACTTACCTTAGGGAGACCTCGCACAGAACCCACCAAAAGAGCGTTATCAAAAGATTGGGTGGTTATTATGTGCTGGCATTTTTGGACATTCATTCCATGTTTCATTACTGCAGTTATCCTCTGGCTCAATATCTCCAATTATTCTATCGGTAGGGAGATTGGAGCTGGTTCACAAGCTACGGACGTCGTCCTTGGAGTCGCCGCAGGATGCGCAGAAATTCACGAAATTTTAATGGGTTTGAGGCTGCTGAATATAGCTCGCCAGGCCATCTAGCGCGGATTGACTCAATGCGGTATATTACTTGGGTTGTTGAGCGTTGAAAAATCCCTCCAGAATGTTGTCTTTGTCTTCAAACCGGAGTTCCGCGCCGCATTGAAATATGGCTTTTCCGGCCGGGGTGGGCGGCAAAAAGAGATTCGCCAAATCGTTGCAGTCATTTTTGTTGTTTGCAGTCTTTGCACAGTGGTGGGCCCGTCGAGTTATGTGATGATGGTTCCTAAACTCGGTTGGTTTGAGGAGAAGCCACTGAACTTGAATGGGACTGCCTATACTTATGGTTCTCGTTGCTATCCCTACATCATGATCAATCCTGCGTTGGGTACTTCTGAGGGGACGAACCTCGACCATTACTTCAATGCTATCTTCATGAGCCCATATCCCACTTACAATTTCTGGCAGGCTCTTCAGAATTCGAATCATGGTAGTGACCCGTCCGAGCTCTCAGCCGAAATTTTAAGGAATATTACAAACTACGACAATATGACACATCATTATAGAAATTGGGGCTATCCGGTGACAGTCAATACCTCCTGGCTGAGTGGGGAGTGCATTGTTTTGGGCAATTGGACGAGCGAACAACTTTTACAACTAGTATACTACTGGATTCGATCGCAATTGATGCAATGCTCGAAGAGGAGTACAAAGCGCCCAAAAAGCTCGCACAATCACCAGCCTGAGCTGTCACAGACATAACAGCACTGTCCTTAAAAACTGTATGTAGAGAGAGAGAGCGCTGCAGTCGGCGCCCTGGCACCAGTCTTACCGATTTCTCCTTCAGCTCCGTTGGATCTAATCTCAACGATCGTTCCGACATCGATAGCAGTCGTCTGCTTCTATTGTATGAATCGAACCAGCGGATTGGCCTGGAGGCAAACATTTGGACTATCAATATTACGAAGATTTGGATCACGGAAGGCTCAATGGAGAGGACCAATAACAATTTCACTGACACGATTTTGGTCGTACTCGCAAACGATGCGTCGAATGATTCGTTAATAGTCTGCTCGAACGAGGCCACTATGAGAAATACCAAAGCAATCTCAACCGCAGTCAGATTTGACCCCAGCGAGTTCCGGAACAGCAGTGACCATCGTGACTACTTTCTCAGTCGAAATAGTAGTTCTCCCCCGCAAAAGGTTCTTTATCATAAGGAGTGGCTCGACTATATTCATAATTATACGGGTGCTTATGATAACTACATCTATGCCAATGATTCAACAGCGGCTAAATATCCATCCTGAAACATGTTAGAGCTCCCTCAAAACAGCGATCAGAGTTTATGGACGGGGGGTTCGCCCAAATAAATTGGCCCAACTACACATCCCCAGACCCTACGGAACTTGAACTAGCTATTGGCGGTACTTTCCTATCAGTTATCTTGAGGATCATGCCATTGAATACGCAATACACCTCACTTTTGGATATGGAGCTGAGTAGAAATAGAAGTTAACATAAGAACTCTACCGAATATTCTTTTAGAGATGTTCACTATCCGGCAGATCTTATGATTGAACAAACAACCCAGTGTAAATATGAAAAGACAGTCATCACGGTCTCTCACAATGTTTACGGTTACCAATGGAAAAGTATCTCTAAAATACTCAGTATGGTAGCATTACTTTTACATATTATTATCGCCATTCTCGGATCCTTTCGGCAGTCACGTAAAGGCGATGTCATCAAAGCGTGGGGCACAGTTGCGTAGTACAGGACTCTGTGCCTTGATACAAGCCCGGACAACGCCCTGCTCGGAAACGCATGCGCAGGAATCAAATCAAACACAACCCTGCAAACTTTGGTTGGGGTTAGAGAGACATATGCGTCAATTGGAAACGAGATGAATTCGAAACACCTAGAATTGAGGGTTCTATCTACGGAGGCCGAGGTGGAAAAGAATCCCCGAATTGGTATCGAGAAGTATGGGGTTTCAGAGGATAAGATAAAAGAGATGGTTGATATTACGCCTGTTTCTTCTCCTTCTCCCGTTGGTCCTTCTCCTCCTCCCGTTGGTCCTTCTCGTCCTCCCGTTGGTCATTCTCCTCCTCCTATTTCTGGTTATTCTCCGTATGATGTTGATGCTGTTACAAGCAATCTGTAAAACCTTTTTTGTGAGACATTCAACTTATAAACACTTAATTGGTTTTTTTGATTTCATTATACAGGGGGGATGCATCCGTCCGAGACGCTAGGAGATGGGATCACGGAATTTCTTTAACGACTGTTATGTTACTTCATTTTGAGTGATATGTATTGATTAGTGGTCCTTTCAAGCAAATTTCATAGACTTATTCATAGTACCCTAAACGAAGTAGATGCTCTAAACGAAGTGAAGGGTTATGCGGGGTAAGAGCTTACTTTACCGTCGAGACGGGTAAAAAGATAATCGTTATTAAAGGCTTAAGTAATCGTTACTTAATCATTATCCATCAATAACTATTATTTCCTATATAATTGCTTAATAAGCTCTTGAATTGGATAATTATTAGCCACAGAAACGATCATTTGATATCAAAGGATTATTTCTGGAATAATAATTATATCCATGATAGTGAAAAAGGGAAAAAGTAAAAGAGGGGGATTGAATCCAGAGCCTTGCAGGTAGCATATACCTCATGCTGTGAATTGGAGTGTGGGAGAATAGACGACTTGGGGAGGGTTTGAACACGTGACCTTTGTGAGGAATATGTTTATAGTGCAAAGAAGATACTATTGCGCCGCTGAGTTCCAGCGACAATGATGGGAGTTTGTTACTCCTTATATACAGATAGTTCTTAGTACCACTTGATCCCCTGATTACATAATCCTAGCGCTAAGCCTCCTTATTCCAACTATGAGTCATCCCTTATACATGAGTAATTACCATACATAACCGATGTCGCAATGCCATATTTTTACACTTCCCCTCACTTGCCACATCGTATCAATTCTGACAATTTTTGGTGAGCTGGTTTTGGTAGTCCTTTGGTCATTATGTCCGCGACATTATCTTCGGTAGGGACGTAGAGGATTTCGAAGGTTCCGGCTTCGAGTTGTTCACGTGTATAGTGGTAGTGAACGTCGATGTGCTTGGACCGGTCGTGGATGCGTGGGTTCCGACAGAGTTCGATAGAACCTGTGTTGTCAGCGTGTATGAAGTACTGGTATTGTTGTTGGAGTTCGAGCAAGGCGTTACGAATCCATACCAGTTGTCGAGCTGCGAGGGACAGGGCCATCTATTCGGCTTCTGTTGTTGAGACTGCGACTGATTTCTGCTTCCGGCTTCTCCAGCTGATGGCTGACTTCCCTAGTCTGAACACGTATCCTGAGAACGATTTTCTGTCATCTAGGTCTGAAGCGTAGGAGCTGTCTGAGAATCCGTCGAGAGTTCTAGTATTCCCCTTCGGGTAGAACAGGTTCCAGTCTTTGGTTCCGTTGAGGTAACGGAGAGTTCGCTTGGCTGCTCGTAGGTGGTCCTCGGTTGGGCATGAGGAGTACTGGGAGAGAGCGGTAACGGCATGGGTGATATCAGGTCTGGTAGCTATACTCGCGTACATCAGTGATCCTATTATGGATTGGTACTCAGTTGGTTTCTCGATTTGGTCTTCCGGTTCGCCTTTGTGAAGGTTGAGGTTCGGTTCGAGTGGTGTGCCAACTGGTTTGCAGTTACTCATTCCAAATTTATCCAGGATCTTGTTGATGTATGCGCGTTGTGATAGAGTGATACCGTTGTTGGTTACCGTTATTTCTATTCCCAGTATGAACTTCGAGTTACCGAGATCCGTACATTCGAAATCTGCCTTGAGTAGTTGTCTGATTTCTTTTCTGAATGGGGAGTCGGGTCCAAATATCATGATGTCATCTACATACACCGATATGTATAGATGGTGGTTCTTATGTATGAAGACACATGGGTCGAATTTGGCTGGGACGAATCCTTTCCGTTGAAGGGAGTCTGCTAGGCAAGCATACCATTCACGGGGTGATTGCTTTAGTCCGTATATGCATTTTCGAAGTTTACAAACCTTGTTGTCCTGCCTGTAGCCTTCAGGCAGTTCCATATAGATTTCCTCCTTGAGTACACCATACAGGAAGGCTGACTTGACGTCCATTTGTTGTGGTATCCAACCGTTGTGTGCAGCTAGTGCCAGTAGGAGTCGTAGAGAATCATATCGTGCAACGGGGGCGAAGGTCTCATCGTAGTCTTGGTACTGTACTTGGGTGAAGCCTTTAGCAACGTACCTTGCTTTGTACCGCTCGATTGTTCCGTCCGCATTGTGTTTCACTTTGAATACCCATTTTCCTTTGACTACTGCTCGGTTGGTTGGTCTGTTGACAATATCCCAGGTGTGGGCTTTGTCAAGGGCGTCTTTCTCAGTCTGTATCGCCTTTTTCCATAGGTGTTGATCGTCGCTCTGCATAGCTTGATTGAAGGTGGAAGGTTCTGTTACGAGGTGTATTTGATAGTTCGGGGGGAGTTTGGATATGTCTCGATATTCCGTGTCTAACTCAGCCCTATAACGTCTGAAGTCTTCTTTGTATTGATCGATTAATTCTTGTTCAGTGGCTTTGTCTCCTGGGCCATTTTCTTTCACATCTTCGATATAACTTGCAAGTAACTTCTGTTGTTCTACTACCTTTTCGTCATACTCTTTCCTTCGTACTTCCATTTCAATTTCTCTATTTTTTCGCTGGCGTATTCGATCTGATCGTTTTGGAGGTTGTGGTGGTGTACCTTTGGGTGTCGTTGACACGAGTGGTTTTCCTTTGAAGCCTTTGAATGGTACGACTGGTGCTGGAATTTTTTCCCAGTTGTCTCTTGGGTCTCGCGGTTGTCCCACAGGTACGGCAGGTTGTTTTCCCTTGTGTGGTGTAGCCGGTGGTGGTTGTCTAACCTGTTCCGGTGATTCCGGGAACAATCCTGGCATTTCTGTACGGTTTTCTTCGATTGCATTTGACTCGGGTTCTGGATCAGACCTGTCTTCTGATTCGTATCCGTCGTCTGATGGTGCATTTGCCGTTTCTGGTTTCAGGCTGGGGATGAAGTCGAGTTCCACTGAGACTTCCCCTGATTCAGGAGGGGGGAATGTGACGTCCCGACTTTCAATTACCCTATGTTGTGTTCCTATCCAGATACGGTATATTTTATTACTGTCTGAGTATCCAACTATGATTCCTTCATACGCTCGGGGTGCTAGTTTGCTTCCTGCTGGCCTAGAGTTTTCTGGGATGTGGACATAGCATTTTTTACCGAATGGTTGAAGGTGTTGTATACTTGGCTTGGTTCCTTTCAGGGCTTCAAAGGGGGTCTTTCCCTTAAGCGTACTGTGCGGTAGCCTGTTTTTAAGGTAGACAGCTGTTGCGTATGCTTCTCCCCATAACGACTTAGGATGGTCCATGATCATGCACCTGACCATTGTGGTTACCGTCCTGTTGAATCGTTCTGCAACTCCATTAGATTCAGGAGTGTATGGGGGAGTCTGTTCGTGAACTATCCCTTGTTAATCGAAGTAGTTCGTTATGTCCTTGTTGATGTATTCACCACCACCATCCGTTCTGAATCTCAGTATTGTTGTGCTATACTGTTTCTCGATCCTTGTAACGTAATCCTTGATGGCTTTTTTTGCGTCTTCTTTCTGTTTCAGGAGGTATATCCATGCGAAGCGGGTGAAATCATCGATGAAGGACATATAGTACTGAGCTTTTCCTTGTGACTGTATACTGAACTTTCCAGATAGATCTGAGTGGATTAGTTTGAATGGTCGTTCGGATCTAGTACTAATTGGTGCAGGTTTCTTGTGTACGCTTTTTGATAGTGCACATTGACTGCAGTGGTAACTTTCTGGTTTGGGAGGCAGCCTTTGAATGTCGTGATACAAGTTTTCTAGTGTCGCAGGGTGGCCTAACGCTTGATGCCATTCATCGTAAGAGGTCAAACGAACTGTATTGCTAACTACTTGTACATTCCAAAGTCCCTTTTCCAATTTTCCCCAAATTATTCCTTTCTTTTCTTTTGTAACCAACTTGCTTCCTCCTCCTGACTCCGTTCTAAATCCCTTTTTGTCGAGCACGGTTTCGGAGACCAATCCCACAATTCCCAAGGTTGGGACCAACAGCACATCGGTGAGGAGTATGGAAGATCTACTTCCATCGGGAAGGTGGCAGCTGAAACTAGCGCTTCCCATTCCGGTGACAGCGTGGTTGGTTCCATCAGCTGTTCGGACGTTGCCGGTGTGAGGTCGGATGTCGATGAGTTGGTCTTGGAAGGGTGTGACGTGAGAGGTTGCTCCAGAATCAAGGATCCAAGTAAGGGGTTGGGAGATGTCGTGGCGTACCATACAGATAGTGGTTGTAGAGTCATTTACTACAACCGATGCCGAGTTGTCCTTTCTCCTTCCCTTTCTGTTCTTGTTCTGTTCTTTGAGCTTTCTGCACTCCGTGTACTCGTGGCCTTTGTAAGGCTGACCCCTTTTCTTGCACCAGGTGGATTCCTTGTCGCTTGTAGTACTCCTGGTATGGAGTACTTTGTTTCCTGATTGAGGGGGTACCTCATCCAGGTTCTGTAGTCGTTGGCGTACGTCTTCGTAGGTGACATCCTGTTTGGTCTGGATGTTGTCTACAACGTTGCTCATCGATTTGGGTAGCGAGCTTAGGAGGAATGGCGCCATGGCTTCGTTGGATTTGGTGAGGGGTAGGAGAGCCTGAGCGAGTTTGTGGTCTGCGCTTTGGCATCTGGACTTGAGAGTATTCCAGTTCGCTTCGAAGGTCGCGAGATGCTCGGTCAGTGATCCGCCTTCTTGCATCTTCGTGTCTAGGACACGGCTGAGGAGGGTGATCGTGGTATTGGGTGAGACACGATCGTAGAGGTCTTTGAGCGCCTTCCATGTGTAGAATGCATTTTCGGCGGAGACGACTGTTGGTTGTATTTCTTCGCATACAGCAGAGATGAGAAGGCTGTGCATTTGTTTACGAGCCTTCTTTATCTCGGTTTTGCTGAGTTCGGTGTCATTCTCGTCAGGGTTCTCGATACTCAACGCTTCCCACCAGTCTACAGCGTCGAACGTTATCCTCCAGGCACTCGCCCAAGTTTGATAGTTGGATTGCCCTTGAAGTTTAGGGAGTCCATCAAACTTGAGACGAATGTTACTGGTAGCTGTTGTCTCTGAGGGTTTGATCTCAGCAGCCTTGGATGACGATTCTCCTTCTGAAGGCATGATGTTGTATGAAGTGTTGTTGAGTTAAGCGAGGTGGCGATGGTGTAGTGCGGATTCTATTTGGCAGAACCCGGGCTCATAACCTGTGAATTGGAGTGTGGGAGAATAGACGACTTGGGGAGGGTTTGAACACGTGACCTTTGTGAGGAATATGTTTATAGTGCAAAGAAGATACTATTGCGCCGCTGAGTTCCAGCGACAATGATGGGAGTTTGTTACTCCTTATATACAGATAGTTCTTAGTACCACGTGATCCCCTGATTACATAATCCTAGCGCTAAGCCTCCTTATTCCAACTATGAGTCATCCATTATACATGAGTAATTACCATACATAACCGATGTCGCAATGCCATATTTTTACACATGCTACCCACTAAGTCATGTGAGAAGTGAAATTCCGGTCCTGGAAATAATATACAAGGTACATAGGTACCAAACACCATTAACACATGTATACATGTTGTTGGATGTATATAGTTGTACAGCAAGAATAAAAATTTGTCCATTGCTCTGTATTCAACATATATGACGGTTTAAAGATTTGCCGTCCATGTCCAGTAGTGTTCACCTATGGCTCATTTCACCCAACCAGTTCTTCCTCCTGCTCTTGTATTCCATGAGATCCTCGCTAGAATATCCCGCACGGGGTACTCACAATGCGCCGCTACATTAATACAAAACCATTCTGTACCTAGGTCCGACCCCGCTCTCTATCTCAGTCCGGAGGAGAATGATTCTATGACAAATCATTTTCTTTTTCTTGATAAAAACACAAGTGAAAACGTTCATGAACTGAACCTCGGGGTGGGGATAAGTGGGAAGATGCCCTTCGGATGATCTCCACAGGTGTCTTCTCTTAATTATATCTACATGTACCTAAGTACATGTATTACTGGCTAAAACTATCATTAAAAACATGATCATTTGAAGATTGAACCCAACTTCTCGAATAGATCAAAGGAATTCCGCCTTCTAACACCAAGTACCATTTTTTAAGAATGAGCCGTAACTAAGAAATCCTTGCTGCAGTAGGAGGTTTACTTGAGATGCACATAATAGTGGAGAAGATGTTCGGGTGACAATTATCAGCATCTAGAGTTGATACCTAGTAGAGGCTTGAAAATATAAATAGCGATGGGTTCGGATTCTCACCTACCAATTCATGCGGGTCGCTTTTTGAGATAAGAAGAACATTATACTTGTCGATGCTAGAAACATGGTTCCTTCAGCAATCACTGATAGTTTAACCAGTTGTTTGGAAAATTCTTATTTAAATACCGAGGTACAAAACAAATTGTGTAAAGATACACAGGAGAGTTGTGTTAATATTAAACAATAGAGTTGTGAAACTTTACTGGTTAGCTATGTCTTTTTACACAATTTATTCCGCAATTTTATCACATGCGGGGTGAGGTGAAATTACTGTAGAAGTATGTCAAGAGTCCTATTGGCCGAGTCAGCAACCTAAACCCTGTTTTTAGACCCTTGTTTCTGCAATAATCCTACCTCTCACTGTAAAGTCACGAGTTTACACAACTGTATATGTGATTGCAAACGCAACCTGATCACCTATATACACAACGCAAATGTGCAGTGTACACCCGCAGGAAAGAAGTAAGGAAACAACAAATGCAACATCAGGAAGCTCGCGTATTACCCAGGGTGCAGCCCCTTCGTCCTGGCATACGTTCTGCGCCTTGAGCGCCTATCACATCTAGCACCACCAGGGTATACCGATCGAGCCCGGCTCCACCCCAGGAGCACCTAGTCTTCCGGCACTACCAGGAGATATGGCTCATGTCCGGAGGGCACTCGCCAATGCTCTGCTGGCCTGGGCCGCAATGAGATTACCTCCCTCTCCGGAGATGCTAGGATGGAGTGACCACACCCACAGCACCTATGGAACTTTTGATTCTTTTGATTATGTCTGTAATACCAAGCGAGCACTTTCCAATGTTCTCACAGTTTTCTTGAATGATCCTACGGCACGACGAATGCTCTCATGACATGGCGATTTTTCTCACCGCACTGCGAATGCTCCCGCGAATACTCATCCGAGTGCTCTCGGAGCACTCACCAATGCTCATAGAGCTGAGGTATTCGTCATACCCACTTAAGGTGAAGCAACCCTCACTTTGCCCCCTTTGTATTAATATGCCGTCGTCCAAGGAAAGGAAAGCACCAGCCCCTCAAATGATATCTAACATGGGTACCTCAACGACGCTGTACGGTAAGTCGCGAAATGCTGATAAGAGCACTGTCCTGTATACTGGTAACAATTAGACAACCTTTAACAGAGGTGTATGTTTCTGTCGATTCGTGAAAAGCTTACTTAGTCTTGAGGTCGAGGCCATGGTACGGCTCATCTGAAAAGCTCAATGTCCATGCATAAGCAGCAAATATAGACTGGCATTGCCCTCCTGGAGTGAGCTTGTTGGATAGCCAGACTCAAATACTGAGCGGCCGAAACTTTCCCTCCTTCTTCCAATCCCCAGAGCACTTACGAATGCACTCATAGCCTTGCAAGCTTTCAACTAAATTCATTCCATGTACGCAAGTCTATCCTAGTATTTACCAAATAATTACCAGTCTCCACCTCAAACAAATAGGCCATTCCCAATATACTCCGAATATTAACGACCCACATACTCTTCCTCCTCCTCCTACAAACCTTCAGGAGCCCATGTGAGCTATCAGCAATACCACGATCCTTTGCCTTGACTAGCTCTACTGTACATAGTCTATGTGCTCGCCCTCAACTATCCCGCAGCTTGAAAAGAGTCTCCACATGTAATGGAGCCATTTCAACTGTCTGGTGTATGAGTACACATAGGGCCCAGTTACATGCTGAGAGTTATTGTTAGAAGCCAGTTGTACGGTGATATGCAAGTACCGGCAGTGTGGTTGGCTACAAGCTGTTAGAGTAACTACATTCCGGGCGCTAGGAAGGAGATCTATTCATGGGAGCAATGACTGACGAGTCTATGCCTCGCCAGTGACTAGAAGACCAGCCAGAGTGAAGCTCTGATTGCTCGGTGATCCTCTGTATCCTCTAAGCATTGTGAGTTTGCCGAAGGGCAGGGATCATGCTAGGGAAGTCTACAATAAGCGAAAGCTCTACAGCAATGATTAAGCTTACACCTGAGTGGCAGCTCATTCATGCAGGCCCTCGGTTGTGTGGCAACCAAGGCTGCAGATGTTACAAAGGCTTTGACTAAGGGTGGTTGCCTTGGGTATCGGAAACACCTGCTGACGCTTAGAGAAAAGCGGGGTAGCGGTGGTATTGTTTCCGGCACCGAGGAAAGGCTTCACCGGAACTTGGTAAAGAGTTAGGAGCAGAGAATAGAGGCCTTCGGAGTATAAGTACTCAGGTTTATTCTCGCCCTTCAGTCCTGTTCTCTCCAGTCTTCATCAGAAAGAAAACTAAGTTCTTATCGGTAGCAAAGCCCTTAAAGATTATTGAGTTCTAGCGATAGTATCTTTGAATAATCTGCAACCTGATTGTCTATCTTGCATGGCTGTCTCTATTCTATCCGATTCCATTTCTCTTAGAAAGGACTCCCGTTACAGATAATCTTTAAGGCTCAAGTCACCTTCAGATTATTCTTCCTCTATACAAAATGTCCGCCCTTGCGGCTCCCGATGCACTCCTTCAGATTGAATGGCAGCCGGTGCGCCTCCAGCTTGATGCCACCGGGCAGATACAGCTTGTCAAGAAGCCCAGGACCCCTCTACAGATCTACATTCCCGGCTGTGAGCCTGCCTGGCAGGATACCGACGAAGTTTCCCTCCAATAGTTCTTCACAGAGCTCCAGACCTACCTCCAGCACAGCCTGCAGAATCAGTTGACCCGGGGCAGTCAGGCCCTCCTTCTTGTACAAGAGTGCCAGGCAGCACAGAATGCTCTCATGGTAGAAGCTCTAGAGTACACGAAGTTGGAGGTCAACCCTGTCCAAGAAGAACTCCGGAAATATGCGGAAAGAGATAAACTGAATGCCGATGCTATGGAGATTGAGTGGACAAACCCGGCCACTCCACCAGACTTTGTTGCCGAGATACAGAGAGCCCTTGATGAAGGAAGGCTAGTGGTGGGTAGACCAGCAACACCGGCACTAAATCCAGGCTCCAGGTCCTCTTCCAGGACAGCCACAAAAACAGTGCAGCGAAAGACCAGCCCTTTTGCAGCATTCCCCGTTCGGTCCACTAGGAGAGTTGTCCCTATTATGCAGCCAGTAGTGGGAGCATCTCCCTTACCTCCGAACCGATTTAGTGGAGTACTTTTATTCCTTCAAAGAGCCGGCCCACCCTTTGACTATGAAGGAGAGCTCTACCCAGGTGCAGGCCGAGGACCTCCTAGCCCGCTAGCCAGGAACCCCGGAAGGTTCACCATGTCTGAAGCCGCTCAAGGAGCAGCAACCTCACCATTGGCCAGTAACCCGGCACCGGTAACACCTGTGGCCCCTCCTGCTGTGGCCGCTGCTCCCCATCCAGCCAATGCACAAGGTGGAAGCGGTGGAAACCAGAACCCTCCACCTGCCGCAGCCCGTGCTCCTGCTCCCGGAGATCCGGACAGTTCTGACAGTTCAGACTCGGAACCAGAAGGTGATGACAGAAGAGGCTGGCGGAGATATTTTAGGAAGAAGTTGGAGAAACAACAAAGGGATTTGTTGGCTATGATGTCCCAGCAGTAACGACCTCCGGCCACCTCTCACCCTTTTACTGCTACCAGGGCCCGAGAACCAAAGGCACCTCCACCCTCCAAATTCCAAGGCAAAGCGGAGCAATCGGAGACCTTTATCCGCCAATGTGAGAACGTGTTCTCTATCGAAAGCCTATCATTCACCTCTGAGGAGGTTAAGATCCGATATGCAGGCAACTTGATGGAAGGAGAGGCGGCGATCCGATGGTATGAGGCATACCACAATTCAATTGATCAAACCTCTGCTAACCATCTTGCTGGAATGCCGGTGATGTTGGATCAGAGATGGAAGCGCTGGGATTCCTTTGTGGATGCTTTCAGGGCAGCCTTCGGTGAAACCATCTCCAGAGATGATGCTGTAGCCCATTGGAATACTCTTACCCATACGGCTCGAGGAGGAATCGATCTCGTCCTGAGTACTATTATTCAGCTGATGTGGAAGACTGGCTATGAGGGTCAGTTGGTGGATGATAAGATCAAGAATTCCCTCCTCCCGGACCTAGGCATGAGTTGGGCTCTTTTTAATCCCAAGCCAAAGTCCCTGATGGAGCGCATAGCTGCTCTAAGAGAGTTAGAGCACACTCATGAGAGGTATCAAGGGTTGGCAGCTGAGAAAGCACCCCCTCTGACCAAGAAAGACCCTCCTGCTGAGAAGGACTGGCAGCCTAAGAGGAAGAGAGAACCTGCAAGCTCATCCGGACCTGAGAAGGCCCCCGGACCTAAGGACAAAGCGGTGGAACTGAAGTGTATCCCGGGGGATATTCTAGAAGAAAGAAGGAAAGCAGAAGTATGCTTGAAGGTATGACCTTTCGGTACTCCCTATTGGCAGATTGCATAGACTGACTTGTGCAATAGTGCGGCAAGTCCAGACACAAATGGACCGATTGTTGGTCTAAGGAACGTACTGTTGTCCGAGTGGCAGCAGTGAGAGTACAAAAGGGGAAAAGAGGGAATGGCAAGTCCAACTCTCAGAAGAAGGTTAAAGTGGCTGCTGTTGTAGCAGAAGATCCACTTGTTGTACTCCTGGAGGTTACAGAAGATTTTGTTTTTCAGCCTGAGCAAGACTCGGACAATGAAATCATCTGGTAGAAAAGTGTCTGTTTGAGTCTATATTTACTAGTTTTCTTTTATATGGGTTTTTCGGTTTCTATATTTCTCTTGAATAAATTATGATTGTGTTTCTGCCTATTTAATTGCCCCAAGCACTCTGAGGATGGGTTTAAAACCCGAAACAGCTGGTCTGTCAGTGCTCTACCAAAGTTACATTTGCTACCAAGACACTTCCAAACCGCTACCAAAAAAATACTACACATCATACCTGCTATATTATCGCTTGGGAATAGAACCAAGGGATCTTTGATCTTAGTAGTGCCCGAAGCTATTAGCTATGTTGAAAAGACAAAGAGAAACGAGTTCAGAACCCGCTGTTAAGCAAAGAAGGTTGGAACAGGGGCTTCCCTCCTTAACAGTACATGGAAAATGACCTATACTGAAGGCAGGACTGTCATGGACGGTCAAAGGAAAGGATGAAGGCACCCAAGGGTCTTTCCTGTTTGATACCGGTTGTACAAGAGCCATCCTCAACCAGAGTTTTGTCAGGAAACATGGAATTCCCTTAGTACGGCGGGATCGACCTCTGACAATGTTTGATGCTCAAGGAGATGTCATGATGGGAGGAGGCTAGTATTACACTCACCCAGTCCGTATGACTATGGGAGATCATAAGGAGACACTCCGATAGGACGTGGCTACTCTGGAAGAAGGAATGACTGGTTAACTGCCAACTAGTTGGGCTAGGAAGCATAACCCAGACATCAATTGGGAACTCAACACCATGAGCTGGGGGAGTGACTACTGCAAGCAGAATTGTCTCCCAGCGGCCACCAAGATCGAACTGATCTCTCCATACTAGATGTCGGAAGAAGAAGAGACAGTCTATCAATTGGTTGCTTCAGTGTGGCATGATGAGAACGGAGGTGATATTGCTGAGAAAATACACCACCTATACCGGGAATGGGCTGATGTGTTCAGTCAAGAGAAGATTGGAGAAATGCCGCCGCATTCCCATAATGATCTGAAGATCAAACTCTTGCCTGGGACTACTCCCCCATTTGTCCCGCTGTACCCATATTCCGCTCCAGAGCTGAAGGCCCTCCGAGAGTACCTGGACAAAGAATTGTCTTCAGAAAAGATCTCTAGATCTAATAGCCCTGCTGCGGCGCCCATATTGTTCATTTCAAAGAAGAATGGGACTTTGCGGATTTGTATGGACTATAGAGGATTGAACAAGGTCACTGTCAAGGACAAGTACCCGCTGCCTATCATGAGTGAGCTCAGAGGCAGGTTGTTCAAGGCCAAGATCTTCACAAAGATAGACTTGAAGAACGGCTTCAATTTGATAAGGATAGCCGAAGGTGATGAGTGGAAAGCCGCTTTCAGAACCCGCTATGGACTGTATGAGTATAATATGATGCCGTTTGGACTATGCAATGCTCCCTCCACCTTCCAGGTAATGATCAATGATGTGCTGAAGGAACTACTGGATGAAGGAGTGGTTGTCTATATCGACGACATCTTCATCTACTCGGAAACTGAGAAAGAGCATGAGCTACTGGTCAAGAAGGTACTACAGAAGTTTAGGGAAGCTAAGCTCTGTGCCTCAATCAGTAAGACATCCTTCCATGTCCGAGAAGTAGAGTACCTATGCTATAACATCTCGGAGAAGGGAGTATCTATGTCAGAAGACAAGGTGAAGGCAGTTAAGGAATGGCCAGTCCCTGAGAATATCAAAGCAGTACAGGTATTCCTCGGATTTGAAAACTTCTATCGCCACTTCATTGAAGGCTTCAGTAAAGTTTGCAAACCATTAACTGATCTCTTGCAAAAAGACAAGAAATGGTATTGGACGGCAGCACACGAATAAGCCTTTGAAGAACTCAAGAAGCTGTTCACAAGTGCTCCAATCCTCCTTCATTTTAACCCTAGTAGGAGAACTGTGGTCGAGACAGATGCCAGTGATTTCGCTAAGCGAGCGGTGCTCTCTCAGTATGGGGATGATGGAACGCTACATCCGGTGGCATTCTATTCTAAAAAGCTCTCCCCTGCTGAGATCAACTATGACATTCATGATAAGGAAATGGGACCTATTGTAGCCTCTTTCCGGGAATGCGAATACACGCTCAAATCTTGCGAACAGGAGATCACGGTTTTTACAGACTACAAGAACTTGGAGTACTTTAATTCTACCAAGGTTCTTACTAGGCGGCAAGCTAGATGGTCTGAAGACCTCGCAGGCTACAATTTTAAAGTTGTCTACAGACCGGGAGAAAAGAATGGTAAGACTGATGTCCTATCTAGGCGTTGGGATCACCGCGTTGGAGAGGGAGGTGAAACTCTGCAGCCGGGGCCACAGATCTTTTTTAGGCCAGGTCAATTGGTTTTGGATCCTGCAAAGCTAGCGGCTGTCACAGTGAATCAATTGCAGAATACATTCTTAGAGCGCCTATATGCGGCAGCAAAAGAGGATAGTTTCTGGCAGGAACTGCACCGCTCCCTGATTGAAAGAAAACCAAATTTGGACCAGAACTTGTCGGTCAAGAACGGTCTCATCTTCTACAAGAATAGATGGTATATACCCAAAGATAAGAAGCTTCAGATGGAAATACTGTCCGATACCCATGACTCTAAGGTGGCTGGTCATTTTGGCCAATTTAAGACACTAGAATGGGTGAAAAATAACTTCTTTTGGCCCAACATGGATAAGGATGTTGAGGGATATGTCCGGAGCTGTGACAGTTGCCAGAGGAATAAAACCTCAAGAGACAAGAAGGTTGGTATGCTCCAACCGTTGGATATACTCTATCAGCCATGGACTTCCATCTCTATGGACTTCATTGTGGGATTACTGGAATCTAGTGGGTTTATAAAGATCTGAGTAATAGTGGACCGCTTTTCGAAGATGGCACACTACATCCCTCTTCCTACACTCAATAAAACAGAAGATTTGGCTAAGTTGTTCTTGAAGGAAGTTTGGAGACTCCATGTTTTACCTGATGACATAGTCTCGGACAGAGACAGCAGGTTCATCTCTCACTTTTGGCAATCTCTCATGAGTTTCCTCAATGTGAAGCTGAAGATGTCCACATCTTTCTACCCCCAAACGGACGGTGAAACAGAGAGAGTTAACCAGACCCTGGAACATTACTTGCGAAGTTATTATTCATACCAACAGGATGACTGGGCAGAACTCTTGCCTTTGGCAGAGTATGCATATAACTCGGCGGTCTCTGAGTCTACCAAAGTATCGGCTTTTTATGCCAACTATGGTTATGAACCCAGGACCAACTGGCTGGCCTCGAAGGAAGGAGTAGAATAGAACAATCCAGCAAGCGAGGTAATGATATTTTAATGGGAATCTATCTGACGGCTATGAATGCCAGATTGGGTAAAGCTAGATCAAGGATGGCCCGATAGTATGATGCTCATGCCCTGGCACCGCCTGAAATCAAGCCCGGAGATGAAGTAATGTTGGACCGGCGCAATGTGCAAACAAAGCGGCCTTTGGGAAAATTGGATCAGAAGAAGATGGGACCCTTCAAGGTCTTAGAAGCTATTGGTACCCGTGCCTACAAGCTCTCTCTTCCCCCTCAAATGGGAATCCACCCGGCCTTTCAAGTCTCCCTTCTAGAACCTTATAGAGTGCCGGTAGATGCTGAGAGAAGAGCTCTACCCCCAGAACCCGAGGAGATTGAAGGAGAACAGAACTAGGTTGTCCGAGAGGTAGCTGATAGCCGGGTCAATAAGAAAGGGAGATGAGTGGAATACCAAGTTCTGTGGGAAGGTTATGACAACGAGGATGCTACATGGGAACCTTGGGAGCATCTCAAGAAGAATGCTGAAGAAACCCTTCGGGATTTCCATATGAGGTATCCTAAGAAACCCAAGGACAAGCGGATTGTTGGGGTGTAGTTTTTCCTTTAGGTTTTCATTTCCTTGCATATCACGGAATTTCTTGTCATATAGAATGGATGGTAATAGAATGGTTATAGATCTCGGAATCCAAGATCCTACAAGAGGGGAGTAGTGTAACGGAGCCATTTCAACTCTCTGGTGTATGAGTACACACAGGGCCCGGTTAAATGCTGAGAGTTATTGTTAGAAGCCAGTTGCACGGTGATATACAAGTACCGGTAGTGTGGTTAGCTACCAGCTGTTAGAGTAACTACATTCCGGGCGCTAGGAAGGAGATCTATTCATGGGAGCAATGACTGACGAGTCTAAGCCTCACCAGTGACTAGAAGACCGGTCAGAGTGAAGCTCTGATTGCTCGGTGATCCTCTGTATACTCTAAGCATTGTGAGTTTGCCGAAGGGCAGGGATCATGCTAGGGAAGTCTACAATAAGTGAAAGCTCTACAGCAATGATTAAGCTTACACCTGAGCGGCAGCTCATTCATGCAGGCCCTCAGTTGTGTGGCAACCAAGGCTGCAGGCGTTACAAAGGCTTTGACTAAGGGTGGTTGCCTTGGGTATCGGAAACACCTGCTGACGCTTAGAGAAAAGCGGGGTAGCGGTGGTTTTGTTTCCGGCACCGAGGAAAGGCTTCACCGGAACTTGGTAAGGAGTTAGGAGCAGAGAATAGAGGCCTTCGGAGTATAAGTACTCAGGTTCATTCTCGCCCTTCAGTCCTGTTCTCTCCAGTCTTCATCAGAAAGAAAGCTAAGTTCTTATCGGTAGCAGACCCCTTAAAGATTATTGAGTTCTAGTGATAGTATCTTTGAATAATCTGCAACCTGATTGTCTATTTTGCACGGCCGTCTCTATTCTATCCCATTCCATTTCTCTTAGAAAGGACCCCCGTTACACCACACGTCCTGATAAGCATCCCCGAAACACTCCTCACTCCTCTGAGAATGCTACTGACACCCATACCCAATCCTTTCTTATTTTCCCTTTCCTAAAAGCTGCATTTCCCGTACATCTAATATTGTGAACCTTTTACACCTCATGTCTTTGGAAGATTGGTATCGGAACCTGCAAACATATGAATATCTCCACTCGGTGCTCTAAAATACTCTCAGAGCTTCCGTC